AATGTACTCATCATTTTCAACTTTTCGGCGTTACATGATTGACACAATGACGTAATATGACGTCATTATGGCGTCATATGAGTGAATTTATTGACAGAATCCAAATTCCCCTCAAAGTAGACACAAAGCAAAAAATACTTCATTAGAGTGGCCAATATTACCGTCCAACGACTCAATGAAGAATTGCTCAAGACATGATAACGAGTCTTGATCTAAATCCAATAGTGAACATGTTTAAATTACTAAGGGGAAACTTGCATGCCCAATGCGACAGAAAAACAATTTTAACAGAATGGACAGAATGGGAATGAAAACACAATTCTAAACCCCTGCACAGGGGGGGGGAGGGGGGGAGGTAACACTATTGTTTTACAGCTAAGTTTCTTGACCCACTCCGCCTGCCAGTATGACGTCACAGTAACGGGCAAGAGCCTCGCGTCGCTTGTGCAAATTACCAAGGGATACAACAGTCATTTGGACGAGAGGTCGAGGAAAAGCAAAGAAGCTAACAAATATCGCTATATATCGCTTATTTGATCGAATTTGTGTGAGCTTTAGTGTTGCTATAATATATGTGCTTGTGTAAACCGTTTTGATATTTTGGGTCCGTGATTGTAAAATTTTGTTAATTTGTTTTGCGAGCCGTGTTGCGGGATCGCCATCTATTTCACTGGACCGGCAAGGTCATCAAAACTTAAATTTTTTTTTTCTCTAAAATAGGAAAGGTCTAGTCTCCAGAATAGGAGGTTCCATTAAAAGATCATCCATGTTTATATTTCATCCATTCTTTTGCTAATTAAGTGGGCCTAACTTCATATCATTCCTTTCGAGTACAGGCCTCTGTTGATCTCCTAATTCTCCACAAATTCAGTAAAAGCTAGTTCGATCGATTATCTACATCGAGTTGGCCCGTTGAACCGGAAATAATGCTTTGAAATACGCGCTTAAGCTAGTTTTCCTCAAATGTATATTTGAACTCATGATAAATACAGTTCTACCAGCTTCAAACAGCGGCTGTGGCAGAGAAAAATTGTCTTGATATCACAAAATTAATTTTTTCATATCATGTGTGTCACTGTGGTACAGTGGTCAAGGAGTTTCTTGCACGTGCGGATAAACCGGGTTTGACTCCCGGCGACGCTGCTTTCTGCTTCTTTGTACCGTTTTTTTTTTCTCTGTTTGGTCTATTTTTTGAACACTATTTTTCCTTTTGGCCTTTTTTTCTTTATTCTTACTGCAGACCCTGCTGGTCATGCACTTGGATCAATATATATTTTAAGGTTAAGTCCGGAGTTTTAGTTTGGAAAAGGGATTTCAAAAGCTCTTGATCTGCATACTGGCCAAGCTTACGACCAGATAAAAACCATAAGCTGTCAAGACATTTCCCTCCTCTGAAACAGCTGAGTTTTTTTCAATGTTAGTTGACATCATGACAAACACACACAGTTCACCACAAACTGTACTAATTTACACCCAACACCCACCAGTGACCCACTGGCGAAAGTTAAACTTGCCTTTTGTACATCGTCTAAATCATCAATATTATTACCCTAAAATCTCCACTGGGTTTGCCCCCAAAAAATAATTAAACGAAACCTTTTATTCGTTTTCGGGATTTAATCACAGAATTACAGGTGTATGCCCAATACAGTATTAAAATGCGGTGAAGCAACAAGATTCAATGCTCACGGTCTGTCACAAATACCTGTCATTTAGCTTTCCCTTTCAACGCTACAACTAAGCGAACTTTGAGGGGTTTCACTAGCTCTGAAGAGCTGAAAATACGCACAATGTAAAGTATAATACATACTTTGATGAACCTCCTATTTCTGTGTCTAAACTCCTTAATGTTGCTGTGCACTGACCCTCAAAGGTGTGACCGGTCGGTATGATTGCCCATTACACCACTGGACATTTCATTCCAAAAAAGTACTTAAATCTAGTTTTCTATGACAATAGAAACCTTAAAATCTCCAAATCCAAGAAATTGGAACGGTATTTCCGTGATAAAATCGAAATTTTTATCCGTCTCTTCGATGAACACTTTGCTCGCCATTTTGAAAGTCACTGACGCGAGACGTGACGTCATACTGGCAGGCGGACTGTACCACAGATTTCCTGGGAGACACCTTCCCCCGCCCCTGCAGTATAGAGAAGAAAAATGTGATTAAACTCGATGGATAACCATGCAACTCGGAATCGATATTCAAGGAAAGAAAAAAAATTAAGCCGACACTGATATCAGTCAATCGCTGAGTTCTATTTAAATGGAACTCGGCCCGATATAATTGGGTGATGCATCTGCTGTGTAATGTAAACAGTCATCGGTAAACCCCACGGTTTTGTCGATTAAAGAACGATTTAATATGCAGTTTACTTAATATCCAACCGAACTGTTAAGTTGAGATTTGGCAACATAGTGTATCTCAGGCTTTTGAAAACGGTTAACCATAATGTGTAATAAAATAAAGATGTCAACAGCCTTACTTTCATATTTGAC